ATTAGTTGTTTCAGCCCTAATACTACATCCTCAAGGTGGCACTTGTTTTTGTGCATTCGTTCAACAGCAAGTTTGAATGAAAATGGCTTCATCACAACCAGTTCTACTCAACACTCCATTCTCTTTTTAACATAAAGTATGGCTCAATTTTGCATCCTACTTTTGCATCCTGGAGAGGGCCAAGCTAGGCTGAAACTTACAGCCATGAGAAAATAAAGGCTTTTTTTGATTTTCTAAGATCTTCATAGTTTGTCTTTACCTGGAAAGTCAAGTTAGACCCCTCTTCCATTTGAGGTGGTCTTTTAAATAATTTTTCACGCTTGTACCATGCCGCACTCCTTCCCCTTTGTTTTATGGCTCAATTTCGGTTTTCATGCAGGGTAAGACCTTGAATAATATAAGGTTGCCTGTTCAGAGAATAATGATGTCTTGTCCTGAATATTCAAGGCGGAAACCTGGACAAACATGGGGAGAACATGCAAACTCCAAACAAAATTGCCTGGAGGTGTATTTGAACCTAGAACTTTCTTGCTGAGACGCACAAGCGATAACCACTGCGCCACCATGTCACTTTCATGTAGACTGGGAACAGAATAGTCAGACCGGTTGGGCAGCCACACCAAATACATTCATTTATTTTTGTTTTTTTGTGTCCTTGTGTCTTGTCGTAAACAGAGTGACAAAGTATAGAACATGCTTTTTAAGTTCAGAGTTGGTGAACGTCTGTGGAGGAAAGCTGAGCGTGGATGTGGGCAGTCAGGGGGAGCAGAGGAGGGGGGTGCTGAATCAGCCCGACCCGTCCGCTCACATCAGCAGGAAGAAGATGAAGAGCGTCCTGATGGAGCTGCTGGCACACGCGCGTCCGGCTGTTTATTATCCCACACACTAATGCACTTTAGGACAGACCGCCGCGAGCACAGGTACAAACCCGGGCTCCAGGCATCACTACTAAAGCAGTTATCATCATTATGACTGTACGAGCACAATAGAGACAGTTATATAGAGAGACGAGGTTTGCAAAGATATTGGACTGTTGTGGTGAAGAGGGAGTAGCGTCTGTTGGCAAAGCTCTCGATTCCCCGCTCAGTCTGTGTCCCCTCCCTCACCTCTGGTTCTGAGCTTCGGGTAATGGCCGAAAGGATCACGAATCGCGGAGCTCAGTCACATGGGAGTTAGCTCAAAATAGAGCCGCTACTTTTTCACGCCAAGAGGAGCCAGTTGAGGTGGCTCGGGCATCTGTTTGGAAAGGTGTTCTGGACCTGTCCCACCGGGAGGAGATTACAGGAAGACCCAGGGCACACTGGAGGGACAGTGTCTCTCTGCTGGCCTGGGATTTCTCTAGATGAGCAGGAGATTAAAGCAGAAGGACAGAGATACACAGAATATCTAATAAATAGCCACGCCGACAAAACGATCCACCTCCAGACGGGGCGTTTCTGTTTGGCGTTTACATGTTTTCTCAGGGCTGCGTAGGTTTCCTCCAAGAGCCAATCAGGAGCTTTGGAATTTGGGAACAGAAGGCTCCTTGAGTGCTTTAGACCACAGATTTTTTTGTCCAAAATGGTGAGTGTGACAAAAAACGGTTGCTGACTTAGAGGATTAACTCAACAGGAGCACCTCCCTATTGGGGTTCATTGAGGGTTAGCATTGTCCACCTTCATTATATACAGTCTATGGTTTAGACCTGGTTTAGACCTGGTTCCGTCCTGGTTCAGTCCTGTTTCAGTCCTGGTTTCAGACCTGGCTCTGTTCTGGTTCAGCCCTGTTCAGAGCAGCTTACACCTTTATTCCTAAACATGCTGGTGGTGGTCAAATAAAGCAGTGGGGGCCAGAGGATGTAAGAAATATCAAATATGCATGAATTTGTCCAAACATAACTTGGTAACACGGTAGATTCACTGTCAAATGGTCAAACGCTGTGCAGAGCCTTTTTTCCAGGTTCCTGTATAAAGTTGAGTATGAAAATGTCACTTAAGGAAAGCTGCCACAGACCGGAGTAAAGCTCTGCAGGAGTTTCGGTGCACACAAACACCACCCGGTCCCTGCGCCGTGTGCGACTGTGCGGAAAATGAACTCTTCCGGCGACAGCTCGTGAGGCCGAGCCATCCCGTCTCCGTGGGGCCCTCGACAACGACACCGCGGTTCAATCAATACTTTTCTCACTCTCACTGTTTGTAGGAGAGAGGCGGAATGAAAGATAGAAAATACTGATGCTGGGAAGCAACCGACAAGGCGTATGCAGTGGAAATAGAATCAAGTTTTAGTACTGTATGTGTAATACTGGAGACATTATGGGTTGTTTAAGGGTCATGTAATGTAAAATTGTCTTTTTAAAAAGTTAGTTCCCTTGTCAAAATTAGACTTGATTTTTAAAATAAAGAATAAATAAAGAGCATTAGAAGTAAAAATAAAAGTTGTAGTTTCAATGTAACTTTGTTTTTTTGTCTTTCTAGTGTGTTCACTTGTCCTTAGTTCACAAGCACATTTCATAAAGTTCTGTCAAACTTTTGAACAAACACAGCCCTCCTGCACTTCTGTCCAATTGTTTTTATAAACTCTATGACTGTCAGAAAAAAGAGCATTCTGCCTTTTAAACCATATGTAGAAGCTATAGTAATAGTAGTATAGGAGTGGTAGTAGCAGCAGCAGTAGTAATCATAGTAGTAGTAGTAGTGGTGGTGACGATAGTAGTAGTAGTAGTAGTAGTAGCTGCAGTAGTAGTAGCAGAATTTGAAGAGGCACCAGTCGTAGGAGCAGTAGTGGTAGTTGCTGTGACAGGGTATTGGTGGTGAAATGGTCAGGGCAGCATGAAGCAAACCACTCCCCAAGTCTGCAGTGGTTTCCTCCTGGTGCTCCAGTTTCCCTTATCAACAAAATATGTACAATCGGCTTAATTTGAGCTCTCAGTGCATGTTTGAGAGCTGAAATTAAAAATGCAAAGGTGTTTACTCTAAAAGATGACATTTTTAACCTAATTGTGGAGGGGAGTTGTTTAGCTTTAGTCATTACTGTCACTGTATATTTAGTTTTAACCTGCAAAAACACAAATGATGAAATGATGCTGATCCTTTGGTCTCACCGTATGGACCGGACCACTGAAATCACATTGTTTTTGTACCGCCGCAGAGCAATTGTATTATAGGATGTATCTGTTCTGCTTCAGCCTCCATCAGTGCGCCGTCACGATCAGGCGAATCCTCGGGGAGGCGTGTGTTATGTGTTATCGGTTCTTCATCCTCTGGGCTCATCCATCCACCTTCCACCCGCAGTCTGAAATGCTTCTCATACTCCCACGAGAGGAGCTCAAGCTAGATCAGCGTGGCCAGTTTTTGAAGACCAGAGAGAGAGAGACCAGTGAGAGAACAGAGAGAGACCATAGAGAGAACAAGGAGAAAGACACAGAGAGTGAGAGCTGAAAGAGAGACCAGATAGAGAAAGAGAGGCCAGAGAGAGAGCCCAGAGAGAGAGACAAGAGAGAGAGGCCAGAGAGAGATACCAGAGAGAGAGAGAGAGGCCAGAGAGAGAGACCATGAGGGATGTGGAAAGCAGCAAGTCTTTCGTTGGAATCCCGGTCGGAACGCGGAATTTCTGAATGGAGATTTCATGTTCTCCCTGAGTCTGCTAAGGTTTCCTCTGGGTGCTCCGGTTCCAGTTGTCTCTGAAAACATATACCTCCCCTCTCTCTGGGGCCAAAACTTCCCTGAAAAAGAGATTCTGAAATCTCCTGGTTATAATAACAGTCAATATGATAGATTTTAAAGCGGCTATACACGCTTTTGAGAACTGGGGGATGGAAACTTCTAATCAGATATTTCTATTAGTTTATGGAATTGAAAATGTATTTGAAATTAGTTATCACGCAGTCATTGGATGAGCATGTCTCTAGGTCTAGTGCTTCTGTTGGAACATTTGTCTGCAAACGTGATTAAATGCGCACTAATTTCCTCATTATTATTTTTTTAAGCACTTTGAGTTGCCCGGTGTATAAACTGTGCTATACAAATAAACCTTACCATGTCCCCATGACAGAATTTAAGCGATAGTTCCCATTCCAGCCCTTCGTGTTTCCAATGGTGAGTCCGGAGTTTTCAAAGATACTGTAGTTTTCATAACATTTCCAGTCATTTCACATCTGAAAGTAAAAGGCACACACACTGGATCTGGTCCACTTCTTTTCTAATTGTTAATTGGGTCAGTATGTCATGCTGCTGTTTGGATTTCTCTACTTCAACATTTCCAAGTACCTGATTTGCATTTGCACCTGTGCCCTGGTTTAATGAGCCTCTTAAAAAGTTAGATCTCAGAGAATGTTGTGCATAAATTCTGCCTTTTTTGTTGTATATGCCACTGTTACTGGTGCCAGGGATTGGGAAGCTCTATGCCTTTGTTGATGACATATTTTTGTATTTTCTGCATGAAAACACAAATCCTATATTAGCTATGTCTCATGTCTGACCACTTAATTCAAGTACATGTATTTATGTATTTATTTGTTTGAATGGGACAGTGTATGTCAATGAACAGATACATTAGAAACATGAATGTAAACATGCCAGATTATAGCCAAAGGCTAATATCCATCTGTAGTCCCACATGGATGTGACAGAACCTCCTAGTAGTAGTAGTGGTAGTGGTAGTGGTAGTGGTAGTAGTGGTAGTAGTGGTAGTAGTACTTGTTTTGTTAAGCACTTTGTGTTGCCTTGTGTTTGAACTGTGAAATACAAATAAACTTGCCTTCCCTAGCCTAGTAGTGGCAGTAGTAATAGCTTAACAAATGGAATGTGTATAACTTATATGACTATGAAGTTTTGGAACTAAAGATAAATCACGTTAAGTAAAAGTAGTAGTAGTAGTAGCAGTAGGAGTAGCAGCAGCAGCAGCAGTAGCAGCAGCAATAGTAGCCATTGTAGTAGTAGTAGAAGTTTTGTGAAATCATCAAGTAACATTGCATTGATGTTTTCTTCAGTGTAGTCGTAGTTTTGAATCCCCCGAGTAGGTCTTCAGTGGTAGGTTTTGAATGCCCTGAGCAGGTCTTCAGTCGTAGGTTTGAATGCCCCGAGCAGGTCTTCAGTCGTAGGTTTGAGTGCCCCGAGCAGGTCTTCAGTCGTAGGTTTGAGTGCCCTGAGCAGGACTTCAGTCATAGGTTTGAGTGCCCTGAGCAGGTCTTCAGTCGTAGGTTTGAGTGCCCCGAGCAGGTCTTCAGTCGTAGGTTTGAGTGCCCTGAGCAGGTCTTCAGTCGTAGGTTTGAGTGCCCCGAGCAGGTCTTCAGTCGTAGGTTTGAGTGCCCTGAGCAGGTCTTCAGTCGTAGGTTTGAATGCCCTGAGCAGGTCTTCAGTCGTAGGTTTGAGTGCCCTGAGCAGGACTTCAGTCATAGGTTTGAGTGCCCTGAGCAGGTCTTCAGTCGTAGGTTTGAGTGCCCCGAGCAGGTCTTCAGTCGTAGGTTTGAGTGCCCTGAGCAGGTCTTCAGTCTTAGGTTTGAGTGCCCTGAGCAGGTCTTCAGTCGTAGGTTTGAGTGCCCTGAGCAGGTCTTCAGTCGTAGGTTTGAGTGCCCTGAGCAGGTCTTCAGTCGTAGGTTTGAGTGCCCTGAGCAGGTCTTCAGTTGACCCAGATTGTCGTGAGTTCCCCACAGGGTTTAACATTGAGCAATGTTTCTTAACCTGTCGCTCTGTTTGGATCCTCTCCTCACAAACACTCTCTTTGCTGGGCTAGTCTTTGTCCCTGCCCCAGAGGCTCCTGGGTGAATTCCTGACGCTTGCTTCCGTTTGGCTCTCACTCCTAATCTCCCTCCGCTGCCGTGCTCCTGTGAGATCTATATCGTCCTGAACTGTAACATTTAGCTCCAACGACAAGAGATCAGACTTTGGCTTCAGGAGTGACTACTAGAGCGATCCCTATAGATTTGACGATAAGACAATCTGTTAACAGTTGCACAAAGACAGCTATCATTATTTGACACAGGATCTAGAAAATCCTCACTGTGGCTTTTCATTTTCATCTTTAGAATGTGTTGAAAAAAAATTACGAATGTGTAAGTAAAAGATTGTGTAGCTTGAAGTACTTTTGTATTCCATGGCCTCGCACCTAAGTACATTCGTGACTTGTTAGTGCCAATATGAACCAACTTGGACTCTGAGGAGCACAGGGACTGGCCTCCTGCTGGGACTCTGTGGTTCACTGCTCAGCATAATCCTGGTTTTGATATTTTCATCATGTCTTTGTAAATCCACATATGGTCGCTAAAAACAGAACAATCAGGAGCGTTCCCGAGAAAAGATAGCCTGCCCCTGATTGGCTTTTTGATGGCTAGGTTGTTGCTCCCCATGAATTTAGCCCCAGAATCCTGCTCCGGTTGCTAATCCGTGGTAGCCTGGCCATAGCCATCCGTACACTCCGCTCAATCATCATTTCACTGCATGTAGCGTCTGGGTCTGGTCCCTGGGTTAGCGAATACAATCGGTCGTATTTCGACCGGCTACTCAGAGAGCGCGGAAGGCGGGTGTTGTAGGTCGGTGCCGGTGACGTCCAGAGTTTGCGCCGAACGGGCAGGTTGTGGTTTGGCAATGGCGAAGTAATCTGGTTTGTTTCTATCAAGAAATTGAAGCAGGAGCAAGAGGAATGTTTTGCAAATGTAATCGCTGGTCAAGATTGTGGCGCTACTCCCCACAGGCTCCGTTAGCAGCAAAGGAGATTGCTAGGCTAAATGCTAATGCTAACAACACACTCGGGCGCATTACATACGTCACGGTAAACTCAGATCCAATCGTTTCAATCTGCAAAAGGAGTTAACCCCTCCCACCTGTTCACGGAGCTCAATGGAGCAAATCCAGACCTTAGTATGAAATGAAATTTGTACTAAGGTGTGGTACAACCAGGCTAAATCCGTGGTAGTATACATTTATCTACATTATCATTTCCATTGAGTCAGTGGGGTAAATATGTTTTGGACTAACCACTAATCCTGTATCAGCCTATCACACGGTCAGCTGTGATAGGCTGATAGAGCTGGATCAAATTACGGAACAAATCCAAGTGGTATTAAATATGAATTTGATCTACTTCTAATTTGGACTAACATGTCACAAATGTACTTGGAAATTTGTACAGAAACGCAGCTGCTTAATAGTCTATTCTCTGAGCCTGAACACATGTTGTTAGCCTCATCCTCCTCTAAAAATGTAATCACATTTGTGATAGAGGTCTGTTTTGGTGTTGTCGTCACCATGAACCGTTGATCCAAAAGTGTTTTTGGATCAACAGATCCTTGCAGTTAAAATGCAAATCTCTATGAATAAATCTTGGAATTTTGTCCGCATCAAGATTAAATATTTCTCACTTCCCAGGACAAAACTCCAAGATTATAGTGAGCTGCTACGAGCGTCTGACCCCCGGGTGGCACACATTCAACAGGTCTATAAGGAGCCAGTTTCATTTTCACAGGCAAAAAACATAGCAGACACCGTGAACTGTTATCTGAAGGACGTCAAAAATCAATACCCACCACCACGTGCCGTCTGCACGCTGTTTGGGTTTTGATTGGTCGCTTGTTTTTGACCAGTTTGTCTGAAAATATCCCCAGAAACGTCGTTCATGCAGCCCCTAGTTCCTGCAATCCCCAAATATGGCCCACAATCCAACTCTTATGCACAGACTATTGGATAAACAAGAGATCATCGACGAGGCATTCTGAGGAAGTCTGTGCATCCGGTGTGTGTGTGTGTGTGTGCGCGCAAATATTTCTGTCTGTCAATCTGTGTGTGTGCGTGTGACCAGAGTAGTTATTATCAGTGGGAGCAGATTGTGTTGGGAGGAATTGATTCTAGAGCAGCGCGCTGTGTCCACGTTCATCGGAAATCAACAAAACCAGTCCGAGCGATGCCATTAGCGCGGTGCTGTGCAGCTGAGCCCGTGGACTACTTCTCATGATTAGCTGTTTTGGTTTCACTGTGTTGGCATAATGTGATGGTGGAAATAACAGAGCACTATTGACTTTCATCTTTAGGATTTGAATTGTAATGTCTTAAAGCTGAGGTTCCTAACTTTCACCTTTCATAATTTTTGATAATAGTAATGATAATAATGCTTCTGGTTAGGGTTAGGTGTTAGTTTTATGTTTCGAGTAAAATTACCTTCTTTATAATTGCGCGACTGTGTTTTCAAATTTGGCAAAAACTAAAAGAAAAAAAATATTCTCCCTCTGGTGGCAGTGTTGGGAGTTACAGGCCCTGTTTTCACCATGTATTTTCTTTTGACAATTATTGGGGGGAGGGAGGGCGTGCGGGAGGCATGAGGTAGAGAGATAAAATGTAACTTTTTCCAACTTTTTCCCTTTTACTTGGTGTCACATAAAATAAATTACGTTTGAAAAGAAAAGAAAAGTCAATAGTCGTATTATTATTAGTGGCCAAATATAATGTGTAATATTTCTTCTTATATACATTTTGTTTGTGCCAAAAGAAAAGTGTTCTCAAAGTAAAAATAGAACACAAGTAAAACACAACCACAACCTGCTGTTTTCATGCTGACTGTTAAGATGCATGTTTTCTTTGGCACTATTTGACACTTTGGGCTGAGAGCTGATCTAAAGATGTGACAGAGGCTAAATGCTTTACATGAATGCAACAACTATTCAAGCTAACTGGTTTTTTGTTGTTGTGGTTTTAAAGTTGGGGAGCCCAGCTTTAAATAGAAAACATACAGATAAACATCTACACTTTTACCACCAGACTGAGATTTTGTTGCAGCCTAAACTAATTAAGAGGAAATACTTTTGTTTTAAAAGACAGAACTATTGCTTTGAGCGTGATGTAATGGGTTAGGGTTAGGGTTATAGTGTGTAGTAATAGTGTAATGTAAGGGTTCATTACTGCGTACCAGATTTGAGACAAAAGCATTTAGAGAGAAGGGGTGGGGGAGCGTTGATATACAATCTGCATATTTCGACTGCTACTGTCCTCATGATTTCAACCTTTTTAAGCCCATTAGCAAAAAGCTCATTTGATTACAAGCACTTAAGAATGGGAAAAAGGTTTAGAGATTTCCTAAACTCCCAACTTTCTGGGAGTTCCCTTTTACAAAGCACCTACAAACTTTAGAAATTATAATGTTTATGACTATGAAGTTTTGTAAATAAATAGAATTTGTTTGATTGAATGGCGAGGCTTTAGACTCGTACCAGTTTAGTGCCTGAAATGCTGTATTAACTGAAAACGCAAATTCTCCAATCACTCATAGATTGGATGAATATCCAGACAAAAACCTTCTGTTTGAGTCCCAGCCAGCCAACTCCGAGATCAGGAAAGAACTCACTGTCAAGATGTCTTGTGGGTATTTATTAAAGAAAAGTTACAAAGTTGCAGAGAGTACATAAAGAACGGTCTAAGCCGAATGTAGTCTCCTGCAACCCACACTGTAAGCCTGTCTGTGGCCAATGGTAGTCTGTCTTTCTTTTTTCCTCTTTCAATGACGTGTATAAGACCTCATGCATATTCTCGCAGAATTATTGAATTACAGATTAGAAAAACATATCAATCAATCAAAAAAAGAATATCATTTTGTATTATGTAAATGTAACTCAGGGTTATTTATGCGCAATTTTGATATTCTACTTTTGTTTCTTGTACACTTATTTGATCAAAATAAACATGGATTGATAATTAAGACAATACGTGTTTGTACCCATACAAATAGTCAACTAATCAGGAAGCTATGGAGACACCCTGTTTTCTCTCAGACTGTTTTTTTTTTCAATGTAAGTAAATAGGAGCCAGAGCGAGTTGGATCAAAACTTCCTCCATGAGCACTTCCATATTGGGCCTCATTGAGCTAGCGAGTTAGCGTTGTCCATCTGTGTAAAGTCTATGGCTATACTGTAAATAGATGGACATTCACATGAAATGCAAACGTATTGAATGAATCGTTTTTAACCGTTCTCTCTCGTCTCCTGCTGCAGGTGTTGAAGGGCAGTAAGAAGCTGAACATGACGGTCCGCTCCGTGGGCCGTATCCCGGGGGGCTACGTGACCAACCACGTCTACACCTGGGTGGACCCTCACGGCCGCAGCGTGTCGCCTCCTCCAGACCTGCCCCAGCACCAGAGCGCCACCCTCAGGAGGAGCGACAGCCAGCGCCGCAGCCACATGCAGCTGCTACAGGACGGGGACGAGAAGAAGGTATGGGGACAGGGGCTACACGGTCCAGGGATAATGTGACTGCCGTGTTTATGCAGGCATTGCAAAATTGCGATTCCCTGTATTTGTAAAAAGTCTCATTTAGTTCAGAGTAAAAATAACAACTTCTAGACCAGGGGTGTTAACCCATCTATCTATATGCAGAATATGGTATCTATTAGCCTGGTCGTCCCACACGATAGTACAAATTAAATTTCGTACTAAGGTCTGGGGGTGCTCCATTGAGCTCCGTTAGGTGGGAGGGGTTATCTTCTTTTTGCAGATTGAAACGATTGGATCTGAGTTTACCGTGACGTATGTAATGCACCCAAGTGAGTCGTTAGCATTTAGCATTTAGCCTAGCCTTCTCCTTTGCCGCTAACAAAACCCGTGGGAAGAAGCACAATTTTTTCTAGCGATTACATTTGCTAAACATTCCTATTGCTCCAGCTTCAATTTCTTGATAGAACCAGACCGGAATACTTTACTATCGCATTCTTCGCCATTGCCAAACTACAACCTTTCCGTTCTACGCAAACTCTTGACGTCACCCACAACTAACTACAACACTCTCCTTCCGCGCTCGCTGGTTGGTCGGTCGAAATTCAACCAATTGTAATCTCTAACACAGGGACCAGACCCAGACGTTACGTGCAGTGAAATGATGATTGAGCGGAGTGTACGGATGGATAAGGCCAGGCTAGGTATCTATAGATGTCCCCATGATGTTATTAATCAATGACACATTCACACATTCAACCACAGACTCATTATGGGAATCTACACAGGGCCGCTGTGGCTACAGGTTTTCATTCCAACAAAGGAGGAGCACACCAGACTCAAGTGCGTCCAGTCTGAACCAGTCTGAGTAAGAGTAACACAACTATATTATAACACAGCTTCTATAACTGATAATGAGTTTAGCATCCATCCATTTTCTTCCGCTTCATCCGTTGCCGGGTCGCGGGGGCAGCAGTCTAAGCAGAGACGCCCAGACTTCCCTATCCACACACACTTCCTCCAGCTCGTCCAGGGGGACCCCAAGGCGTTCCCTGGCCAGCTGAGAGAACCTAATACTTTTAAATACTAAGAAGACAACAATCTTCCTAATCTCAGTCTATATTTTTCACATTTCAAGAGTTACATTTGTTGGCGCAGCCATCGCCGTAAAAGAGTGAAATACCGGAGTGACAGAGGAATAACTTAACGCAGAGACATAGGTTCAGTTTGGCTTCATGCGTTCTTCACAGGTGTCAAGCAGAGGGCCATTTATTAATATTGCGCACCGGTGTGTAGCCACGCCCACACAGAAAGTAGGTCACTGGGTCAATTGAGGACATACATTCAACACCCCCACTTGTTCCTTGATTGACAAAAACACTAATTTACATGTCCCAAAATATATTACAATAGTCATATTCCAAATAGAAAACACACAAATTTGTCCATTCGCGGTTTCGCGACAGGTTTAGTAAAAACATCGGCCACCATAGTCTCTGTTGGGCAGTACACAAGTTGAATGTTTCCATCTGAAATAGCAGATCGCACAAAATGATACTTTATGTCGATGTGTTTACATCGCTGTCGACACACTGGGTTTTTTGAAAGAGCAATCGCACCCTGATTGTCTTCAAAGATTGTCACAGGTGTAAAACTTTGACTGTCCATCCCAGATAACAAGTTCACAAGATACAGGCTTTCCTGGGCTGATGCTGATAGAGCCATGTATTCAGCTTCACATGTAGATAAAGCAACAGTAGATTGTTTTTTCGACTTCCATGAAACAATAGGTCCACTCTCACATAAGCTGAAACAATATCCAGTAACACTGCGTCTGTCGTTCTGGTCAGCCGCCCAGTCAGCATCACAGTAGGACACAAGTTTTAAACTTACATTTTGTTTCTTGTAACACATTTCTTGATTTACAGTGTATTTCAAATACCTCAACACATGTTTAGCTGCAACCCAATGTTGTTCTCTAGGTTCAGAAAGGTATTGAGACAGTTTACTCACAATGTAACTCAAGTCTGGACGTGTAGACATCATAACATAGATTAAACTACCAACCACTTCACGGTACTTCTTTGGATCGGCAGCTTCACCCTCATTGTCAAATTTCATTTTCATCTCACATGGGGTTAACCTGGGTTTGCAGTGGGTCATATCAAATCTCTCAAGAACTTTAGTGATATATTGTTTTTGATTCATTTTGATTTCCTCTTTTGTTTGGACAAAATCAATGCCAAGGAAATGTCTTAGTTTTCCAAGATCTTTAATTTTGAATTTGGCCCCCAACATTTCCTTCACATCATTGAGGATTTGACCATCACCCGCTGCAATAATGAGATCGTCAACCCAAATTAACAACATCACTTTCTCATTTCCAGTTTTTCTGTACACACAATAGTCAGCAGTATTTTGGACAAAACCATTTTCAACAAGAAAAATCATGCAGCATCTTATTCCAGTTTCGTCCTGACTGCTTCAACCCGTAAAGTGACTTATTGAGTTTACAGACTAACTTTTCTCCTGTTTTTGACTCTACTTCGAATCCTTCAGGTTGCTCCATATAAATGTCACAATCTATAGGGGCGTGTAAGTATGCAGTTTTGACATCCATTTGATGTAGCTCTAAACTATACTGAACTGCAAGCTGCATCAGAACACGCACAGAGGTCATATCAGCAGTGGGTGAAAAAGTTTCATTATAATCAATACCAGTCAAAGTAAATGTATCGTTATCTATCAGTGCGTCCATTTCATCCTTCATAGCTTTGGACCACTGCTCTGATTTAGAAGAATTCAAAGCTTCTTTTGGTGTTTGTGGAACATCACATGTCACACGATAACAATAATCAATATTAGTCAGTGCTAAATCTTCGTCACATTTTAGTTCATAGTCATAATCTGTGTAAAATTGGGTCCGTTTCCGATCTCTTTTTGGATAACGAAAACCCTGGCTACTCTCACCATTTTGGTTTGTATCACACACCTCTACTTTGATTTCAGGTGGGATCACTTTTGTCTCGTCAGATTGAAACTGTGGATTTACCACCATCTTTTTAGGCTTTAAATGTTCATAAAACATGCCTTCATCTGTTTGTGTATCACATTCAGTAGAACCTTTAGTAATACATTTTACCAGCCTATTTTTAGAAACTTTACCAGTATCTGGATAAAACACCAGATATGCTGGACTGTTTTTATCATAACCAACAAATATGCCTTTTTCACAGCGTGTGTCTAGCTTTTTCTTATCATATTTATATGCATAACACTCTGACCCAAAAACTCTCATCTTAGACAGATCAGGTTTTTTTCCAGTTAGCACAAAATATGGAGTTTGTCTAAGGCGTTTGTTGTAGCATCTATTTCTGATCATAGCAGCAGTCTGCACTGCATATGTCCATAGCTCTTTTGGTAACTTGCTTTCAATGAGCATGCACCTGGCCATCTCAAACAGAGTTCTCCAAGCTCGTTCTGCTGTCCCATTCTGATGGGGCGAATAAGGAGCTGAAGTTTCATGTCTTATGGCATTTTTACTGAGCAGTGACTGAAATAGACTCGACGTAAACTCTGTTCCGTTGTCTGATCTTAAACATTTGATTTTTCCATAAGGTGCTACATCAGCAATGAACCTCTCAGTAGCAGCAACAGTATCACTTTTGGCTTTAAGGAAATATGTGAACACAGCTCCAGAATGGTCATCAGTAAATCCTAGAGCAAATCTAAAGCCATCCTTTGCTGCAGGCTCTATTGGTCCAGCCAAATCTGCGTGAACAAGTTGTAAACTAACATTTGCTTTTTCATCATCTTCTCTACTTCTATTTTGGGCAAACTTTCCTTTTATACAGACTTCACATGTCAGATTAGCAGTTTCACCCTTATCTTTAATGTTCATTCCTTTAGCAACACTTTCCAATTTTAACACGTCATCATAATTGCAGTGACCTAATATTTTATGCCACGTATTAAGGTCATAACACACATTGCACTGATCAGTATCATTGTGAACAATACTCAAATAAAACAGTCGGTCATGCATTTGAATATCAAAACTTGTACCGTTTTTATGGATGAGACGGTTCTGTCCTTCTTTGAAGATGACGGTGGCTCCTTGCGCTGTAGCCGCTTTAACAGAAAAAATGTCCTGTGAAAATGATGGAACGTAGAGCGCTTCCATCAGCTTCACCTCCACGACACGGCCTTTACTGTCTCTCAGACGGATTTTAGCGGTGCCCTTCTTTTGCGCAATACCACTGGCGCGCTCTCCATCAGCCAACTCCAGAATGTGGCTCTGAGGTTTAAAAGATGGGTCAAACTCCTCGAATCTTCCGATGTCCGTGATGATGTGCTTCGTCGCTCCCGAGTCAACCATTAGACCTTTCACTTTGACACCACCGATCGGAGCATCCTCAAGCTTGAACGCGAACGTGTGGTCCTCCTCATCCACCGCTTGCTTCACCTTGTCCCGCTGTTTACGCCGACAGTGCGCGTCTTTGTGCGTAGAACTCCTGCAGAAGCTGCACCACTGCCTCAGCTCCCGGCGCTCCCCAGCAGCTGACGCACACTCCGCTGCTTTGTGCCCTTTCTGGCCACAGGTGTAGCAGGTGAGTCTCGCGCTCCAGTTTTCTCGTCCTCCAACTTTCATGACACTGTCTTCTCCCGAACCAGAAGCTCCAAACTTTTCTGTGCTCTCGTAGCTTCGGAGTTTTGTTTTAAACTCTGCAAATGTCAGTGTATCATCACTCTATGTGAACAGAAAATGGTTTGTACACTTCAGGCAGGCCTTTTAATATCATTGCAGTCAATAACCCATCGCTCAGTGTCTCTCCTGCATTACGTAGCGCCGTGATAGCAGTCTCTGCACGGATAATGTAGTCCGTGACGCTCTCATTGACTCCTTTTTGAAGAGATGTCAGCTCCGTGTACAAACTTATTACGCGCGGCTTCCCTTTGCCTGCGTAATGATCACGGAGGATCTGCAGCGCCTTTCTGCCATCATCAGCGGCTTCTCTCATTACAAGAGACAAACTTTTATC